AGAAAGAAAGAAAGAAAGAAAGAAAGAAAGAAACAAAACGTGTCGATGCCTTCAGCCATCATTAACAAGAGTGTTTTTAGAAGCTACAAATTCAGGATTTTAAGTTTTTTAAAAGTTTGCACCAAAATTTCAACTACTTGCCTTGGTTCTGCACTCTCTTCATCGACAACTTGAAGATCATGGGAAGCTAGAAAAATGAATACAGTTTGAGTTAAAAGTATCTTTGACATTGATCCAGGAATATAAACTAAATTGAGTATTTTTACGAGAATGAAAGAGAATTTTAAAATGATAGTTCTATGATGCTTTCACGCTTACCTGTAAATGAATCCGAGTCAACATGTACAGTGACTTCAGACTGACTAACTGGACTTTCCTAGCAGAAAAACATCCATTATGAAATGAGGACCATGGTCCTTTTACTCGGTAATTTTTTTGAATCAGAGTCTAATGTGGAATGCAGCGTTCGAAATCGCGACGAATTGCTCCCTGTAATGACAGCTTTAGAAAACCTTCTTGGCAAGAAATGTTTACAAGTCGGAAACTTAAGGTACTTTCTGCATTTTCCTGAAAGAGGGGGGGGGGGTGCCCATTCCATTTCCCATCCATTTTTTTACAAGTCCCACTTCACAGCGTCCATATCCCAAACYTTTTTCGTTGAAAACATCTCCCATTCCCATTTTATCGTTTTTTAACCATTCCCGGTAACCTAAATCTTATTTTTCCCAAGGCAAAATAGAAAGATCCCAGATTCTATTGTTTTCATTCTGGACCCTCTTTCTACTCTTATTACTAAAATAAAACACAAGTTTCAAGAAGAATGACAAGGTAAAACGTCTCAGACTGGTGAAACTCGTAGGGACCCCCTCCCCTTGGGCCTGAAACACAGGTTAGCTTGTTTGATCCATTTTGCATCACCAAGGAACAGTATTGCGTTCCTTTTCCTAAGGCTTGTGCACCTTATCTAAATCTAGAATTATTGAACTTTTTACAAATCAAATCATACCACTCGTTCTGGCTCAGTCCAGGTTTGTTCAATCTCTGTTGCTTCTGGATTCAAGGGTTTCTCTTCATCTGGCCACTCTACCTCAGCTTCTTGAAGACACTCACGCACGATGGAGCGCACGTGATCGGTGATGAGAACATGTCCTACAGAGAAGGATTAAAATAACTATTTCTCAGACGGTGCTCTTGCACTGTTCCCTGCAATCTCCTCAGAAACCTTGCCTAGAGAAAACAACCTTAAGACTTTGTATTGATGCAAGACAGCAGTAATAATTTTTATCAATGACTACAGCAAAAGCTTTTTCAAACTGCAACCTACTTTTTTCATAACGCAACAAAATTCCGATGCAATTCAAAATTCCGCAAGACACATTCGTCTCCTGTAATGGCGCCTTGTTATATAGCCGGCTTTCAATCAGAAGTTGAATGGATAGTCATAAAATAAATGTAATGAGCTGGTTGCCCTAAATGCGGAAAAGGGGTATTGCTCATATTCCATGTGGTAACTGTCGTCTCGATCAGTGCGCAGCAATAAAACCAGTGGTAACGCAAGACAAACCTTCGCGTTTGTCATCCTGTTCCTCAGGCGTCTCCTTCTGTGTAAACGGTAGATCTGCTCTAAGCTTAAGGCTTTGTTGCAAGATTTCGGACAAAAACCTTGTTTCTTCCTATGACAAATAAGCAAAAGCTCGGAGATAAGTTACCAATATTCGGCATTAAAGACAACTGTCTATGTATAGAATCACAGTATATCATGAAATTTATTGTCTCAGTGTCCAAAACCTTACCTCGTTTGTTTCTGTAGTCCTTCTGTTACCTGTACAAAGAATGTAGCTTTAAATCGAGGTGGACATTCGGGAGTTGAGATTAGCCGTTACATCACGCGTGCTTCATAACCGCACACAGCACGCGCGCGTTCCTTCAATAAGGTTTTCTGATTGTTGCAAACAAAACAAACAAGAAACAAAACAAAAAAGGTAACAGACATAATCCACCGTTTTCCCATTTCAGACCACGTGTCATTCCCTAGAGTATTATTTCTTTGTTTAACGGTTGCGCATGAGAAGACACATGAATATGGATACGATTCAAACGAATCTTATTCTCAAAAGGCTGACGCGTGGTCTGAAATGGGCAAAACATTAAGCCCAAGTGGATTTCGTCCATCACTCACCTGCGTTCAAAGATAATTCTGAAAACCTGTAATTCAAAGAAAGAAGTATGGATTAAGTATAAACGATATTACGTTATATTAGCCATTTCGAGGGTAATGGGAAAAAGGGTCGAGTTGGCAATGCAATGCATTTTGAGGCTGTTTTAGGGAACATACAACCAAGATGGTGTCTATTTTGTGCCCTAAAACAGCCCCATAATGCACTGCAATGCCAACTCGACCCAGTTTTTTCCCTCAACCTCGTAAAACCTGATGCAAGATGAGAACCAAACCGATGACATGCCTACCCTGACGCAAATCTCCACTGGGCCACCTTGGGATCCCATTCCATATGTCTAAAGTTAACGTAATAAAACTGATCGTCAAACTTGCTATGGAGGCTGTAATCGGCTTGCTGGAAACGAGATGCTGCAACAACAAACAAAAGAAGTCGATTTAAAGATCGTGTTTGTGTTTCATTCTCAGAAAAGGTCTATGCTGCTGCTGTCGATGCATATTAAGGGACTGTTCATTAATTATGCCTCAGGGTGGGCTGGAGGAAAAATCGAAAAAACCTTGGAAAAATTCACAACCCCCCCCCCCCC